ATCCCTCCACCTTTTTCCCTTATTCTCTTAAGAGACTGGGTTCCCGCCAATCTGACATGTATTTCAATGTGGCATTTTTGGAAATGGAGAAATAACTCCACCTTTGACTCAAACCTTCATAAACCGCACGACCCTGTGGCTTCCTCCACCAGGAGACTGGATTACAATTAATATCGATGGTGCTTTCTCTCAGGTTAACTCAAGAAAAAGGGGAAATGACAGATAGGCATAAAGATCAATTAATTTAAATTAAGTTTAAAATTTAAAATTTAACTCTCAATTTTATAATTTTATTGAAATGAATTTATAATTTATTTTTAAAAATTTTAACATAGTTGAAGAATAAATAAATTTATTTTTATTTTAAAATTTGAAATACGAGTTGCAAATTAATCATGATGAAATTATAAAATTGAGAATCAAACTTATAAATTCATAAATTTTAAAATTTAAAAATTAAATTATATTAATTGATCATTTTTTAAAAAAAAAATTAACGTTCTCCCAAGAGGAAATTTGGGGGTGCTCTGGGAGACCATTTGGGACACTTTGGATTGCTGGATTTTCTTTTAATGTGGGTCAATGGACTCCACCGGAAGCTAAAGCTTGGGCTTTTTTGAGAAGCCAGCAACTTGAATGGGGTATGGGCTTTTGAAGAGTAACAAACGGGGAAGTCAAGACTACATATATCACTATCACAAAATATAAGTGTATCTACATTTTTTGACAATGTTCCTTCCTTTTTGAAGGACTTTCTCTTAATAATTGTATGGGATTTCAATATATTTTAGCTAATTAATATATCGGCTCTCCCCCCCCCTAAAAAAAAAACAAATTTGAAATGTGCTTGAAAGTCTATTTAACCAACATAATAGATACTTGCTTTTAGCTTTGATCAACTAGACATCTACTTTGCTAGTTGACAAGACTAGACATCGTTTTATCTTAAAGCCCAAGCCACCAACTCAATTAATTCTTTGGTTAAAAAGTAAAAATACCCATTTAATTTTTCTCCAGGGATATACAATATCTTTAAGTAAAAGATAGTATAAGAGTACTCATAATGTTAATAAAGTGGGTACAAAATTATGCAAATTATTAAATTTGACTAATATTTATTGACATTGATTGTTAAAAAAAAAAAAGTAAATATAAGATGCAAAAATATTTATAAATTATTTTATCTATGAGCTTCTAGTGTTTTTAAATTAATAATGGTGCACGGGTACCTGTTAATTTTATAAAATAGGTTGTATAGCTAACCTCGACCTAACAACTTAGATTTTTGGACTTATTTGAGCTATCTCAAATATCCAAATTATAAAAATTTATTTTATTTTTTATATTTTTTAGTCTATTTCAATTTTTATATTAAAAAAATTAAGAATCTTCAATTTTAATTTTATTTTATTAATAATAAAATGAACTTAGGTATTTAAGCTAACCATATTTAGGTTTGGGCTTGATCCAAATTTTTTCAAGCTTATTCAAATGGCTTGAATAAGCTTAAAGCAAAAATAATTTTCTAAACTCCTAAGCCCAATATTAAGATTTTTTGTACTTATTTAAACTAACACATTGAGCTTAACCCAAATTATTAAATATAAAATTTTTCAATTCATTAAAATAACTTAATGCTGATTGTGCAAAGTTCTAAAAATAGAATTCAATAGGTTGGAAAAAATTGGTCTATTTTATAAAATTAAGGAAAACCTAAACATCATTGTTGATTTTAAGATATCAAAAGCTCCAAAAGAAAAGGTTTATAGTTATTTTTGCATCTTATGTTTGCTTTCTTTTTTTTTTCCACAGTCAATATTAATAGACATTAGTCAAATTTAATAGTTTGAACACTTTTCTACCCAATTCATCAATATTATGAGCACTTTTGCACCATCCTTCATTTTAAGATACTAGATATTCTTGGAAAAAAATTTATGAATATTTTTGTTTTTTTAACTCTAGATGTTTAGCAATTTTTTTCCTTGGAAGACAGTATTTTGATCTAAGTTCTAATGTTTCTTTTACGGGAAAATATCATTTTTTTAATGATTTGATTTTTATCATAAAAATAATTTAATTTCTATTAATTATAATTATTTTGTTATAAATATTTTCCCAAAATTTTTAATTTTACATATTCTATAAATTTTTAATTATACATATTATTCAAAAAAATTAATTTTGTCAAATTGACTTTTAAAAAGTTTATCAAAATATAAATTTTATTATAATAATTAATTTTTACTAAATAAAATTTTGATAAATAAACTTTTAGCAAACCAAAAAAATTGAATAAGACCCTAAGGGCCTATTCAATTACTTGTTTTTAAAATATTTTTTTGTAAAAAAATAAGAAAAGAAGAAAAAACCTGTTTAAAAATGTGTTTTTTGTTATTTTATCTGAGAAAAGAAAAGTTAAAAGCTGTTATGAAGAGCTAAAAGATTTTAGACGTTTTGTTACTTTTATTAAGCAAAATTAGAAAAAAATGCATAAAATATAATGCTTTTGTTAATGACAATTATGTTAATAAAATAAATTATTCTTTCATCCTTTATTTCACTAATTTAGATATGTTTCTTAAAATAATGATCCAAACAGATTCTTTTCCTTATTGATTCTAAAACTTATTCTAGAAAACTATTCTTCAAAATTGTTTTGACATCATAAAAAAAAAAACAAGCCTTTAGTTTCTCATTCCTTGAATATGTACTGTAGTTACTGCCAAAAAAAAAAAAACAAAGAAAGAAAGAATGTGTACCGTAGTCACGTTGGGCTAAATATAAGTAGTTCTGTTTTGGATGATGGCAGAAATGGGTTGTGACTTGTGAGAGGTGGGCATTATTGAAAGACTCAGCCTCTATTGGCGCTTGGGTTTGAAAAATACGAACATATTACAGTAATGAAATCTAAATTATTCAGATTTAAAATATTATTATGTATTTTCATTTTATATTTATTAAAATAAAAATTATAAAATAATTTTAATAAATATTTTTTTAATATGATCTTGATTTAATTTGAAAATTTTAATTTAATATTAAAATTTTTATAATCAATGTATATTGACTATTTAAATTGTACAAGATATATCTAGATAATCAATATATATCAATTATAAAAATTTTAATTCAATATTAAATTAAACCCTTCAAATTAAATTTAAATTATATTAATAAATTTTTATTTTAAATAAATATAAAATATAATAATATTTTAAATTTAAATCATTTAAATTAAAATTTAAATCATTCATATTTTACTACAAAGAGGAGTTCACGCTAACTCTCCTTTCAGTAATATCATCAAAATTGCTGGGCTTTTTCTCGGGGATTGACGTATCTCTCTATTTACTTTATGTGAAAGGAAGCTAGTCAATATGCTCATCTGCTTGTGGAGTTATGGCATAAAATTCATAGTGATCCATATTTTTTTTTTAGCAGGTATAAGAAATATATTCTACCTGACCAAAAAAAAAATCTCTCTCCTAAGTACTACGAGGAAAGCAATGATTTGTTTTTTAAAAAATTATATTTAAGTTTCACATAAAAAAATTAATTATTACAAAGTTTATTGATAATTGAACTAAAAAAATTGACAACTAATTGAGTTATCTATCTCCTTAATTCAATTGTCATTAAATCTTTAATTTTTTTATGTAAGACTTCAATATAATTTTTTTTTTTAATCAACTGGTACTCATTGTAGGGAGCTTGTGGATGATGAATGGAAAAAAAAGAAAAAAAAAAAAAAAACAACCAATTGTAATGAGTTGCTGTAGACTCGTTTTTAGAGTGGAAATGGACATGTGGACTTGGCTCTTTTGGGCTTAAGCCCATTAGGCCGGTTATCCCACGTTCGATTATTTTCCGAAGCATCACCCTACTCATTTCATAAGCCCATTTTCATTATTTTTATTTTTTAAATTAAAATTTTTAATTATAATATTTCATATTCTTTTTTAAAATAAAAATTATAATATCTAAATATTAAAAATAAATAATAAAAAAACTAATTTTAAAGTATAAATATATATTCTAATGTTTAAAAGAAGAATAACAAAAAGGTCTCAAAAGAATTAATTAATTAATTTAAGTTAGGTTTCAAATGTTAAATTTTAAAAATTTATAACTTAATCTCTCAATTTTATAACTACATTGTGATAAATTTGTAACTTATTTTTTAAACTTTAACATGGTTAAAGAATAAAAATATTTATTTTTCTATTAAAATTTGAAATACAAGTTATGAATTTATCATAATGGAGTTTTAAAATTGAAAGATTAAGTTGTAAATTTATGAAATTTGAAATTTTGGACCTAAATTAAATTAATTGATCATTTTAAGATTTCTTTATCATTCTCCCAAGTTTAAATTCAATTTAAAACTTAAAAATATTTTATTTTTTAGGGGTAAAATAAAATGGGCTACTTGAGTTCCTTTTTCACAACCGTCAAGTTTTAAAACTTGATTTTTAAAAAAAATATTAATATTTTTAGTCAAAAATACAAGATATTTTTTAAGTAATTAAATGTTAAAAAATATAAAATATTTTTACCTGTTTTTTAAAAGTGCTCTTGTTAAATAAATTATTTTATATTTATTTTAAACTGAAATATTTTATTAAATTAAAATAAATATAAAAAAAATAAGATTAGTTAAAAGATAATTAATTATTTTATTGAAAATAAAATTTAATTAAAAATATTTTATATTTATTTTTAAACGAAAGTATTTTTGAAGCCCAAACCTGCCTTGTTTGGACTCCAATCTTGTGTGTGGAAAAAGTTTCAGTTCAGTTTCAGATTCAGAAAGGCCACGATGCGAGGATGGAATTGACTTTTCCTTTAGAAATCGAACTAGTGGGATTTGACCTTGCAGCCCATGGTTAAGGGAAAACAAAAGATCAGCGGAAGTTAGATGTGACCAAGTTTACACGTGGCAAACTTTTATTGGTTGAACTAACGTGGCTGCAGCTTTCCAAGCGGGAGCATGATGTGCTGGCGAGTACCGGAGTCTGTTCCTCCGTTTTCCACTTCTCGTCTAACGACGACTTCATTTCTTTTTCGCTCCTTCGTTTCGACATGTTCTCTGTTTGGAAGCAAAGAACAATAGATGATGACGAAGAAGAATTCTTTCGCTTCGCATTATCGACGGTTCGTGTTTTGCATTCTTTGTGTCTCTTTAGTTCTGCTGCCTCCGAGGGTTTCTTCAAGCTCGCCACCCACTCCACGCTCTGATCATGTATGTAGAAGTTATTGTTTCTGTCTTCTTTTCTGGCCCTTTTTGCAATTGGAAATTAAACCCATTTGTGGTCTTTGTTTACTGTTCAGACCATTACTGAACTTACTTAAGTGTTATTTGAGCGTTGGAGCATCCTCAAATTAGACCCATTTAGTTTATGAGGTGGAACATTGCTTATGATTAAGTTATCTCCATATTAATAGAGGATTTTCTGCTTTGAGAATTTAATGCATATAATTTTTAACTGGTTTCATCTTATAAGCTAGTTAAATGATTTCATGTGCTTTTCTTGATTTACTTCGGCTGGTTTCATTTTGCTCATTATTCTATCAGGCTTCTGTATTTCCTGAGTTTCTTCACCTATCAAAATAAACCTTAAAATTGCTTTTGTTTTTGTTTTTGGTTTATTACAGGGTAGTACAGATTCAACCGGTGGAAGGTGAGTGGTTTTTCTGTTTCTTGGACAGAAATTTTTGGATTAACATAGGGAAGTTTAAGCGTCCATTTCTGACTTCATCCCTACTGTCCTACATATCTATGTATGGGATTTTGAAATGAAGGCAAAATGATAAATAATTTATATGAGGTGTTGCTGACAAGCCTGCATCATTTGTTTCATATCTGTACAACAACAACAACAACAACAACAAGCCTTTATCCCACTAGGTGGGGTCGGCTACATGGATTGCAAGACGCCATTGTGCTCTATCATTTATTAAGCTTTTAGAAATATTGTTAATTAAGAGATCACGTTCAACAACTTCCAAGAGTGTTCTCTTAGGCCTTCCTCTACCTCTCTTAATCGGACTCAAAGTTATATGTTCCACTCTTCTCACTGGTGCCTCCCTTGGTCTTCTTTGTACATGCCCAAACCATCTCAACCGATTTTCTACCATTTTTTCCTCAATAGGTGCCACCCTCACTTTTTCACGTATGTGCTCATTTCGAATTTTATCTTTACGTGTATGTCCGCACATCCATCGTAACATTCTCATCTCTGCTACTCCAACTTTATGCTCTTGCTGTCCCGTTAGAGCCCAGCATTCATTACTATATAACATTGCCGGTCTGATAGCAGTACGATAAAACTTTCCTTTAAGTTTATTAGGCACCTTACGGTCACAAATAACTCCTTTAGCTTTTCTCCAATTAAACCACCCAGCTTGAATTCTATGTGAAATATCTCCACTGATTTCGCCATCATTTTGAATAATGGCTCCCAAATATCTAAACTTTTCCACTTGAGGTATAATTTGATCTCCCAATTTCACTTCCAAATTATTTTCGAATAGTCATTTACTAAATTTATAATATAAATATTCCGTCTTACTTCTACTCATACGAAAACCTTTCGACTCCAATGTCCTCCTCCATAACTCAAGTTTGCAATTAACCTCTTCTCTTGTCTCTGCTATAAGAACTATATCATCCGCGAAGAGCATACATTTGTTTCATATCTGTAGAATAGATAATTTCTTTATTTGCTCCCTTTTCTCTTTATTTTTTGTCAATGTTTGTGCATTTCTTTTTTTCTTATTTCCAGGCATTGGTGCCATGCCTAATATTTAGTGTCAATGTTAAGAACTTTGAGGCAGGAGCAGGATGGCAATCATGAAATACATTGCTCTAGGGAAAGAAGTAGAGCAGCTTGGAAGATCGTTCAGGAGGTATTGGGATATTTTGAAATCTTTGACTTACTTAATGGTATCATGTAAACTACTAGTATCATTATGATACTAATAAGGACTGTTGCTTGATGCATGATTTTCGTTCCAGTATTTGATGCCATTTGTGGAGAAGGAAAAATATCAAATCACAAAAAGATGCAGGCTTCACCCTGATAATGATCTATATAGAGATCAGGAGCAACATAAATTTCATATAGATATCAATGAATGGCAGTGTGGATATTGCAAAAAAAGTTTCTATGAAGAGAAAAATCTTGATCTGCATTTTGACAACAGACACTCCAATTTACTTGACCTGGTAAGTTGCATCTAGTTTATTACATTCTGTCTTACTGTATCTGTTGTGAAATAATTTTTTGAGTTAGAGAATTGTTCTTCTCTTCCACCAAAAGATACAAATTAGATTTAAACACAATTAGAAATCAAGCCATCAGAAATAATGGATCCAAAGTTATTGTTGTAGTCATTCATGAGGAATATGGGGATGTAAAACTGCCAGGCATCAGTAATACTTTTGCCTTTGGTCAAGCTGGGCAAGAAGCTTGTCTGGTTGTCTAAAGCCCAGTTGGACTTCAAGCTTGGGCTATAGTCTGAGCTCTAACTGATATAATGATTGAAGTAATAAAACGTACATTCTGTAATAAGTTTTAGCGGTTTTTGCTAAGCATTGCCCTAGTGTCAAGTAAACTTTTCTTCCAAATATAGTGGAGAAAAAGATATATCAGATGAAAATATGAAAGATTGTGAGTTGCTTCAAAAGGCAGATAGTTCATTGAGTGAGCAAACTACCAATCTTTGCTTTTTTTCTGACCATTATTGTTCAACCTCTTAAGCACAAATAATTCAATTTGTGAGCCAAATGCATTAAATTATGTGTTCTCAGCAGAATAATTACTTTACATCCCTGTTCTATTTTGATAGACACGTACATCAAAAGTAGGAAAAGAAGCTGTTAGCTGTTATGACTACATTGTTTTTCCAAGACCCTTTTGCTACCCCCAGGCCACATTCCTGACGTCAGGAAGGAATGGAATAAGGCCTTGCCCGCTCCTCCTACCTACTACCCTAAAGAAAAAAGATGGTCCCATTTTCCCCTTTCTAAATGCTTTTATCAATAACTAATCCTTTCAAAGTGGTGCATCGAATGCTGAAATGGGATGCTTTTTTTTTTTTTTAGAGTCAACGAAAGTGTTTAGCAGATGTATGTGGAGCACTGCACTGTGACCAAATAATGAATTCTGGGTCAAAAAAGTCGAAGTGCAATCCTGCTGCTGCTGCAAGGAATAAACATCTATGTGAGGTGTGCTCTTTGTTGATCCTTTCCTTGCTTTAACCAATTCTCTGTTGCTAATTTGTCTATTCTGTACAGAGCTTAGCTGATAATTGCTTTCCAGTTAGCGAGGGCCCTGCTGCAAGCCGACTTCATGGTATTACAATCTTTTCTACATTGTAATTAGAGCATATGTGTTCTTTCTGCTTTCTCATATTGATAATTTCTCAGAATTCTTCTTGCGTCAATTCTGTGATGCACATACCTGCGCTGGAAGTGAAAAACCTTTCTCTAGAGGCCGTAGGGTAAGTTAATTGACACTTGTGATTAAACTATCATTTCATCTGTGTATTTTTATGCGTGAGGATTACTGTATGACATTGTACTGTATGTATTTACTAGTGTCAGCTATATTGAATTTCCAGAAACCATTACTTGTGGTTTAAAAAAATTATTAGTAAACATTGACAAATTGTTTGATAACGCTATATTGTCAAAACCTCCACTATTTATTTATGGCCTTCTTTTCATGGTCACCAAGAATGAGTTCAGGGTACGTATGCACTCTGAATGAGTAAAAATTGGAGGAAAAAAAAACTGGAAAGTAATGTGTCTAATACAAATTTTTGGTGGAAGTGCCGTTGCAGCAAGCATGAAGCAACTGTTTCAATTACTTGCGCTTGGCTGCTAGTGTGTGCCTAGTCACCAAAAGTAGTTTCTTTTGCTGAAATAAATAGTGAAGTTTCTATTAATTGCTGATTTGCTGCCTTTATTTGTACAGAAGAAGATGAATGCGTTATACCTTGTTGTCTCCATTTTAGTAGTTATGGCGCTCATACTTTTCTATCTCTACATTTTCTTATATCAGAGGTATGTCTTTTGAGACTTATCAGTTACCATATGTCAGGTAGCTTGTGAATAACAGGATTGAATAATTTCTGGATTTTGTGTTGCAGAGGGATGAAAAGGGGCACACAAGTGCTGCGACGCATCTCACAGACCAACCGAAAGAAAAAGCCCTCTTAATCGGGAGCTCCTTCCCTAATTGAACATTTCAACTTGCCTTCCGAACAGATAGAGAGGGAACTAATGGGCAGCTATTGAAAATTTGTTACACCCCATCGATGGCTATTTTATGTATGGAAATTTGAGAAAGATCCAAATTCATATAAAGTCTCTCTCTTTAGCTGATTGTAAACCAAATTCTGACTAAACTTGGAGACTTCACACAAAAAAGGGTGCTTCATGGCTGAATCCAACCTCTTTAATTTTTTGCTTTCAATTTTGTTCTGCATGGGCAAGAGCAAGATGAAACCTTTACACTGTAGTCTCTAATCTTGTTTATTAACTTGATCAGGATTGTTTGTAAATATGTCCATGACCTGCACTTGTATTTTCCATCTGCAAGGATTTGCTCAAATCTCTCTAAATGCCTGTTCAGTTGTACCTGTAATTTCCCCATTTTTAATGAATAGAGTCATTTTGTCTCTACTTTCCAAGTTCGATGGCATGACACGAATTGGATAGTGAAAAGAAAAGGGGAGAAACGATATCAGGCTCTGAACAAGATTGAAATGTGAAGCACAACTTTACTATATCTTGCTTTTCCTGTACAACTCTGCCAATTACCTACCCGCAAGTGTTGTTTATGGGAATTGTAACGTAGATGACACCATTTCGGGTCAGCGCCTTCGTCTTCTCAGAGTCGTGTTTCCCCCCTTTCTTTTAACAAAGTTCTCATGCTCATGTTTTCAAACAAGGCTATTCCTAGCTCTTGGGAGGCCGTTCATTACTTTCCAGAGCTCCAATCCTCACTGCCATGGTGCCATTGATGTTGTCTACTGATTAAATACATAAAAGTGTTTGTTTATCCATTTTGCAGTCTCCAAACACACGTTTGCTCATTTGCCTCCCACTCGCTTTTTTATTTGCGTTGAGCAAACAGAAAAACAAACACGTAAATAATTGCTTGTATTGATCATTGATTATAGTAGAGTTAACAAGAAATAAGTAAATTAAACTAAGTTTTTTTTTTTTTTTACTCCTTTCTTTAAGAATAATCAATAACACCATTTAGCAATCTCTTCCAACAATTATAAGGAATCCTCAAAATCTTCTCTATTGCATCCTTCATGATTCTTTTTCTAACCTAATGATGAATCTTGCAATCCCTTAATCTTCGGCGGCCATTTATGCTCCCTTGCCCTCTCCAAGCTTGGTCCACCTGCCATGACCAGAAAAAGCCCAGTTCTTTGTCATTGAAAATAGTGGAGAGAATTTATAACTGGAAAATGTTCGGACTCTTCAAAATGAAATTGGGGCATAGAAAAGCAAATTTGATAGATATCAGGCCATTTTGTTTTTTAATCAAAAGGGCGGTGGTTTTTGCCAGTTGCAGCCTGATACAGAGTGCAGCAAAGAATATTTGTGATTTATAGGACATTTCTGAATTCAGAAAGCTTTAGATTATCCATCTGGTCATTGGTGGCCTTCTTTGAAGAACAATCTCGGTCTGCCTACTGTTACTTACATCCATCTCCCCACACCGCCCCAAAAATAAATTTTAGGGGAAATTCTGTCAGTTGCTTATGCTTAAATACATGACAGCTTTTCATACTGATATTATACAAGACTTGATATTAATCAACCCCTCTCTATCGTATTATACAAACACTACAAAACAATTATTGACGACAAATATTAAAAAATGAAATAAACATGTGAGTTAAATTTTTTTTCACCGAAAAAAATCCCCCATAAAGAAAGCCAATATTCTATTCTGGATCATAGCCCTAAACTTCCCAAACCCTAGCCTCCGGCAGCTTAATTCCATTCTAACATCACATATCTAATTATATGCTGATCCAAATCCTAGAAACAATTGACAACGTACCGATTTGGAGAAAAGCACCAACTTTGACCAGAGGATAAAAAACAAACGCCACAAAGGGGAAAAAGAAAGAAAAATAGAAGCACGAATCTTGACCTCACTCGATCTAATCTCTTAACTAGATTGTAAAAGATGAATAAGCCCGAAAAAGGGCGATCTGTCTCAATCTTTCTGGGCATAGTACTTCAGTCATTCTGCAAATCATCAGAATGCCTCAATCATTCGAAACAGAGTATAGCAGACATACCACGCCAGCCAAACTGCAGAGCATCGGGATGTCTCAAACTTTCGGTGCTTATGAGGAATTAAACGAAACTTGCTTGCCTGTATATAATGAAAAAAAGATTGGAACTTGTCAGACAACCAAGTGACCATCCCACACAGTTGAACTGCCTGGGAACGATCCTCTGCGGCCCGGCTGAACCCAACACTGGGCAGCCCAGACCAATAATCACGCTCTAGTCACCTGGTCATAAGTCATCAACCAAGCTGTGGTTCTTGTCTCCTTGAGTTAGAACAGATCCTGTTCAAGTAAGGTCGTGCCCGGTTGCGTTGGTTTCGTACCTTTTATAGTCCAATTTGGATTGTGTTGTATACGATGTGGGACTTAGTTACCTTTAGTCGCAAAAATGCCCATAAGCTTATCTTCATGACCCCTGCAAACTTGAGGGCACTTATGGTATTTGGCTCTACAAAACTGCTGTCACGTGCTTTTTATTTGAGAATTTGTGCTTCTAGTCTGCAATAGTGTAGCCATCGTCAATAGAACAAATATTGAAAAGAAACGAAACACTTTACTCAGGGATCAAAGCTATAATAATAATACATTATAGAAAGGTGTTCGACTTTGGATTCAACAATCTTGCGAGAACAGAAACATACGACTAAATTACACATTAAATCAAATTCTAATAAACGTCCCAGTTAACTAACATTATGCAGAAAAGAATGTTATGGTAACCAGAGCTCTAAAACAAAATCAGTAAGTGAACACATAGCCAGTAAACCCTTTCAATACATTACATTATTAATTATTATTTTTAACATAATCACATTTCAATATTTCCAAATGGATGTATCGGAAGTCATTTAGTTTAAAAGAAAAATACAAGAAGATTTCATTTGGACTAATCTGATACAAAATCTTTCACATCCATAATAAATGAATTTATATGTATTGATGAATAGTTTTTCTCTAATATTAATATTTTTTTTGGGTATGGGTATGATGATTGGACGTATGCTGCATGTGATTCATTTAGAGAGACTTTAATTAAGAGGGGGATGGGGAAAAAACAGAGCTAATAAATATAACGATGAGATGTTAACCCCCACGTACAATCTTTTTTTTTTTTTTTTTCCTTTGTTTCATCCTGCCTCTCCTTATATACATGTTTATGTTTATAAGAGATCCAATTTAAGATGACTAAACTCCTCACCTGTAGTGGCTTAATTTCATTCTAGTACACTGTGAGTGCGTGTCCACTGATCAAAATCCTAGCAACAATTAAGGCAATAGTATTTAGATTTTTGAACTACAATACAAACACTGATAACAAGAACCAACACCGCGAAACAAAGCAGAAGATATTTCAGAAGGAGGATCTTTACCGACTTGGTGTATTCTCTTCAAAAGATTTAGATGACATCCAAGACAAATGCCTAAAAGTAGGCGATTCTTCCAAATATATGAATGAATATAGTGCTTCAGCCATCCTGCAAAACATAGCACACATGGGAGGAAAAGTTTGCTTCCAAGCTCTGAATGTTTGAAAAAAGAATAACAATTTAAACATAAAGGATGCGAAGAAGGGCGATCCTACCAAACATATGAACATGGTGCTTCCAGCCGTCCTGCAAAATAAAGCATACTTCTTGTTTTTTTTTTCCCGGGGGGGGGGGGGGAGGGAGTAAAAATTTAACCATAAAAGATACTGAGTAGAAATTTTTGCTAAATAAAAAGAATACTGGAGCTTGTCAGACAACCAAGTGACCATCCCACACAGTTGAACTGCCTGGGAACGATCCTCTGCAGCCAGGTTGAACATCAGTCTGGGCAACCAGACCAGTAATCACGCTCTGATCACGTGGTCATGAGTCATCAACCAAGCTGTGGTTCTTGTCTCCTTGAAACTCAAGGACACAGAGGTACGAACCTATAGAACAGATCCTGTTCAAGTAAGGTCGTGCCCATCTGTGCTGGTTTCCTATCTTTTATACTCTAATTTTTATTGTGTTGTATTCGATGCGGGACTTAGTTCCCTCAGTCAAATATGCCTCATAAGCTTATCTTCATGAACCTAATAAACTTGATGGCCCTTTAGCCATAGAAAGGTGATGTGTCACGTGATTTCTGCCTCAGAATTTGTGCTTCTTGCCTGTATTGTAGTTTTTACAGTATACTTATAAATAAAATATGCATTGCACATACAAAAACTGATCCAATTATCTTATGCTTCAAGGCATGATAATCTGGCTGTAGATCATATTGGACTCAAGTTTACGTTTATCCTGAATTCTAATGAAAGATAATTACAATCAAATAAACATGCAACCACAAAAAAAAAAAAACGGAACTAATTAATTTCTAGTGATTTTATTTATATAGTTTCAACTCCAACCATGTAGATTCACTTATCATGCAGAGACCAAAAGCACATTATTACGCTATCAGCTTTACTTTGCACAAAGTTTCAAATATAGGTGAAGTTTATTTAAAGAATAGTTTGTTATCTTGATTCATAATGTGTTTACATTTTTATTTCTCTTGATCCGTTATGTCTTTGAGCCTACAAATTTTAAACATCATCGTTCTCATACTTTTAACCAGCAACTTTTTGAGCATTATGCAAAAGGAGATCCGCATAGGGGACCAAGAACAACTAGCTTATTTAGCCAACATTATGTGAAGTTGTGCACAGAGACCCCTCCCGTGAGATTCTATCTTTGTGAAAATCACAGCTCATCCTTTATAAGTTCCCATCAATGTGACACACTCTTTCAACATTTACTAACTTAGGCATTGGAGTGTTGTCAAGAAACCTGCTTCGATTAATTCGTAAAACAATAAAAATATGAAATGTATAACAGGTAGCACTACTCACAAACCATAAATAAACAATGCAAGTCACTTCTCAAACTTCATATGATATATAGGGACCCACCTAAGCAATAAGTAATTGAAATAAAAAAAGATTGCACAACAGTTCACTTATGGATCACTTGTCAAAGAGTTGCTAATGAGATAATTCATTGCCTATCAGAAATTTTAATTCGCAAACGGAACAGTTGATTTAAGCCAAGCATTCAATAGGGTCCAAGAGAAACAAATTAAATAATATAGAATCTATTTTAAAAAAAAAAAAAGACTAAGCTATTTAAATGGTTTTATAAAATATTTTTGCTTCTCAACAGCTGCCAAAAAAAATTCACAGCTTCTTATTCATGCATGGCAAAGCAGAAGTTTGAACTTAACATAGGAGCGCAAACAAGCTTTAACCAATTTTCAAATAATTCATGCGGATCAAATTTCACAGACAACATAAAGATAGTGTGTGAAAACACTGCATTTGAAGCATTTGAAGCAAAACAGAACAATACAGGCAGAACACTGCATTTAAAGATAGTGTCTGACGACATAAGAAGCACCGGTATGGATACGGGTATTGGATGAGATACAACATGATGCGATGGCTATGGAAATTTTTAATATCTTAGGACACGGGTAAGAGAATATATATATATATATATATATATAATATTTTAACATTTAATGATATAGGTATAGATATCTTGATTTTTAAACAAGTATATTTAAAGTAATATAAGGATAGTTATAACAATTAACCAAAAAATTTTCTAATTTTTTAGGTAATACAGAAAAATACTGTCGGAAAAAAATCATAATACAAATGTTAGAATATGTTATATGTATCCTGAAGTATCGCACGCATTACTTTTTTGAAGTGTGATCTTTTACCAGCTGAAAATATACCCACCAAATCTCACTACTTTTCTAGACTTGATATTAGACATGAATACAGATGCAGCACATACATACCTTCCCAAATAGTGAATTTTGAACAACGACAATGTCCTGGTAATGGCAGATCGAACCACTCCTGTTTAACGCACCTGTATCAAATAGACTTGAATCTCGATTCTCCAGCGACACTACGCCATTCTCATCTTAGATGCTGGTCGTTCCGGTGTTCGCATCCAACAAGCCACCTACACATAACCAATGTCAAGGCCCATACATCATGGTAAGCAAATTATTTAGGGATCGGTAATAAATTTGACGTGGCTTGTGTCGAAGTCAAACAATGAATGAATTCAAACGTGCCAAGATGAAAAGGATCTTACAATTTTCAGATGCACTTAAAAGTACCAAGTAAATGAACTTAAAATTTGCAGCTAAGGGAATCATAACAGAGAACGAGAAAAGAAACGGAAGTCTTTTATAACAGTCACAGGCTGCGAAATCCCCAAATCTAAACTGAAAATGGGAGAGGAGATCAAAGAATGCCCAAACCGATGCAACGCCGTGAGAAAGTTCGGTGATATGAAGAATATGCAGTCTAGTGAAACAAATGAGCACAATAAACAAAATGCTTCCTACAAATCGTCATGTGAAACACTCGAAAACATAAATTAGTGATCAAAATAACAATTTAAGAAGCAAGAACCCAAAGTATAGCATCTTACCAAATGCGAAGCAGAAGCTTTTCTTAATGGCTTGAAACTTCAGGAATGAAGTGAAAACCACTGCTTCAGCAATCAAAACGACGGAAAGCTTGTCAGACAAGCAAGTGATCGTTCCACACCTTGTTGCTTACTGACATCGTCACACCGGGATACGAGCCATTTCACCCAATGGCAACGAGAACGACGAGTTGCTTGCTCCTCTTGTGAACGAAATAAATTAACTTATTAACTAATTAAATTTATTTAATAAATTCAATCTAAAATATAAATATTTTTTAATTGATTTTAATTTTAAAATATAAATAATTTAATATATACATATAATTTTTTTATTTTACTTTTTATATTTATTAACCTAAATATTTATATAAATATATTTTTTACTTATTATCAAATGCATTAGAAATTAAAATTAAAGGTAAAAGAAAAAAATAATAAATATTTTTATGAGAATTAAAACTTTATTGATATACTAATTTTTTTTAAAAAAATGTCTGTATTCTGAACAAAAAATTATTTTTATATATTGAAGTTTTTGTCTATAGAATACTTCTCCCATCTTAATTTATAAAATAATTTTAAAGGTGATTCACTCTTACAATACAAGATAATTTAAAAAAAAATAAAATTTTATTAAATATTTTTTTAACATTACTCTTTTATTTTTATTATATTATTTTTTAAAAATTATTAAATGAAAAATATTTTATATTGAAAAGAAATTTATTAATATATATAATTTTATTTAAAATCAGTCTTAAACATATGCAAAAAAAAAAAAAAATTCATTTTGGACTTACCCTGTTTGAATTGATGGATTTATTTGGCACCATATTAATCCACATGAGCCAAATCACAAAAGTTTACAAAGCCTTGTCATCATCAAAATAAACATTGTTGCATTTTTATGACTCTAACTAGGAACTCATGTTTTAATCACATCTCATAGTTCCAAATCTTTTTTTTTTAATAATTATCTGCGGTGTGTAAAAAAATCAGAGGAAAATTTTTTGAAATATTCCCTCCATTAAATATAAGAGATTTTTTGAAGAGTTAAATGTTTAAAAATATAAGACATTTTTAATCTATTGAGGTGTAAGCATTGCCTTTTTTTAAAAGTGTTCCTATTGATAAATGACTTTATATTTATTGTAGGGTGTTTAATAGGGATAAATATAAAAAATTAAGGTGAGTTTAAAAGTAGGTAACTACTTTATTTGGGGGTAAAATTTAGTTAAAAATGCCTTACATTTTTAAACAAAAAGAGTATACAAATGACAATAAAATCTTATAAAATACCATGATTTTTCTAAGTTCTTAAAGACCTTTTTGATATTAATGATTTTGTGTGAAATAATTAAAATACCCTCAATTTAAAATTAAAAAAATAACAGCTTTGGTCCCCCAAAAATAAATATAATTAACTATTTCAGTTTAAGCAACTACTAATTTTTTTTATAATGACTAAAATGGAACAAGTAATTATAATTTTCAAGTACCATTTTTTATTTACTAAAATCCAAACATTATAAATATCTCCAACTGCTTTAGTTTTAGTAATAGTTACTTTTCTTTTAGTAATGATTAAAATGGAATAAATCATTATAATTTTTTCTAGTGCAAATTTTTTATTTGTTAAAGTCTAAGTATTGTAAATATCTATAATTATTTTAATCTAAACAATAGCTATTTTTTCTGGCATTGAGCAAAACAGAACAACCAATTACAACTTTCCAATGCAAATTTTTGTTTCACTAAAATTCAAATATTATAAATATACGTGACTATTTTAGTTTAAACAATATTTATTTTTCTTCAAGCAATGATTAAAACAGAGCAATCAATTATTAATTTAATTTAAATTGTGAGTATTTTAATCATTTCACTAAAAATTATTAGTGTTAGAAATGCCTATAGAGATATAAGAAGAATTCTGACATTTTGCAAGATTTCTTATTATTTACATATTTTAAAAAGATTTTTTTATCATTTTCTTTTTTTATATTATGTTAGCATGAACGTATAGCAGGGACTTCAAGATATGGATATATAGCGGTTAAAATTGAAATTTCAATTTATTCATTCATTTTTTTCTTTCTCCTTTTATATTAAATTCTGAAATCATTCTTCCTCTATATTGTCCCAAAATTCTATCAGACCACTTAAACTCGAGGTTTTAAGTTTGATTCAATATGAATGTCAAAAAACATCTTTAAAAAATTACTTTCAATTAAACTCAACGATACTTAAAATTGATCTATTTAGATATCAAAACAAAAAAAATCCAAAAAATCCCATTAACTTTGAGTTTTCAAAAGTTTATATAAAACTAGATTTTAACCTCGTTCACATTCAATCATACGAGGCTAATATGAACATAAACCTGATAAATTCTAAGGTTATGCCAAAAAAGTTATTTTAATCATTTGAACTTATTAAGGTACATTTGATGATACTCTCTACAATCGTCTTGGCTTTTGAAGTTGCTATATTTCACATGTGAATTAGGAAAGCTTGAAAACATTGATTTTTAATTTAAATAGGATATAACTCAGTATTAATTTGCTTATTAGTTAATTGTTCACGTTTAGGGAAAGAATCAACCAAATGGTCACAAAATACTAGATGTATTAGAGATATTGGGTCTCAATTAAAAATAGGTCCTTGAACTTCCTTACCTTATTTCACTCAAATGCGAAAATATAAGCTGAGATAAAACAGATCAAGTCTGATTGATGGGTGCACATGAGCTTGAAATTACAATGATTATTTGGCAAAACAACACTAAACTATAAACTAAAATGATTGATAATGATAAAAGCACGGAGTTTATTATGATTTTTTGCTGATCTTCCTCTTGTTGTTGTTCTCGTATTTACAGTGTGTGTAGGCTATTGTTAGTGGTTTGTAACTGCCAACTCATATTTCCAAAATATCCGTGGATGACCATTGCAATCTTGTGAGATTTGGGGCCCGTTGAAATTGTTGTTTCATGCCAGGCAAAGGTTTATGGTGATCATGAGTCTAAGGGATTCAAAGATCATGCCTCTCTAGTCATACCATTTGGTCATGATGTAGACCGACCTTTTCTTTATCGGATCACTTGTTGGGCCTAACACTTCATTTCCTTTGCCTAATTCTTATCATAGCTATTACGTTCTTCTGAATAAGCATCGTTTCAATTGTAACCCAAGCACTAATATTTTGCTATGTTTTATATAAATAATATTATATATTTTTTCTTCAAAAATTCTTTTGAATTGGGTTAATTCTTTTATTCTATCACTCGGTGTCCTTAAAAACTTGGAAATATTACTACCTCCTGTCCAAAATAATCCAAACCATTGTTGTGTGAGACTGTTATTATAATGGCATCCTCATAGGTATCTTAAAAATATTTTTGACATATTTATTTAACACAGTTACATATCCCAATACATGAACTCGATCAATACTCTAAGATAAGCTAATTCAATTCTTTCGATTAGCTGAACTAAGTGCCCTTCAATTAAATCAAATTCATCATTTTTGTCAAAGAATAAGTGGGCTAAATAAGGTGGAGGAGGATCTACAAATGCTAACTTAATTTTTCCTTGGGAGCAGCATAGTGAAAACACATGATTTGTGTGACATGATGCATTACTGACCGTACATTAAACCATCTTCTTGCTCCACAATTTTGACAAATGATCAAAGTGTATACTCTCTCCATCACTATATATAAAGAATTTTTTAAAAACTTATTTTATCCCTAAATATAAAGGGTGATAATGATATTTTTGAGTAATTAGACAATTTTACCTTTGTCTTGAAAAATGAAATAAATTATTAATTGTATGTTTTCTCTACCATTATCAACATATTAATTGTGATATTGTTAAGGGTAAAATTGAAAAATCATTGTGTTTTTATGTGAGTTCAACTAAATAATAAACCTTTATTGATATATGAGATTCAGTTAAAAATACTTTCTATATAGGGATGGAAGAAGTGTGTGTGTGTGTATAGGGATGGAAGGAGTGTGTGTGTGTATGAGAAAAAAGAAAATTATAACATTTACATAAAGTTCAATAGAAGATTTGTTGACTTATTCCACATGTGTACCTATATGATCATAATGTTACATTTAATTGATCAGCATATCACACACACACATATTCAAATTAAATCATTCATGTAAGTGTTAGAGAAATCCTACTTAATAGGCTTTATTTTTTTATTTCTCTTAAATAAACTCATGTTATTTTGGCCAAATGGATTGTTTTTATACTTTGAGTTCACTGCATCAAATTCAATTTTTTCAACGCCTTTCTAAATCTAAAGCGGTCTATAATACCTTCTTAAAAGGCCATTGTACTTCAAAAAATTATCGAATCCAAACCTTTTTGACTCAGATGTTTCACTAAAAGTAAGTTTGAATAATAAAAAAAATTAAAAAAGGAAAATGGAAATGAAGTTAAAAAAAGAAAAAGAATTAGGGTAAAAAATATTTTTGGTATCACAAAAATCTTTCTATAAAAACAGTGCCACAAGACGTGGCATGAGTGGTAGTAGCTGGGGCGAGAATGTCAATGTAGTGTTGGCCACGATAGAGATAACATTTGCTCCAATGAGTGAGTCAATGCATAGTCAATGTCTCATATTATTACATTTTCTCGTATTTTCTTTTTTCATTTGCCCATTACAATGGGATTATTTGTCATTCTTCTTAAAATAAATGTTAACATCTCCTTAACTATAATTATCAATCAAGATTGAATCATAATAGTTAATAGTTAATTAACATCCACTGAAATGTTAATTAAGTATTAAGTTATATATATTAGATTAAAATACCTTCTTTAAATATGGATATTGTCTAAACATCACACAAGTTAACCAAAAAAAATTGTTACACACACAAATATTTTTTGTATCCATATTTAAAATTTTTAGTTATATAAAGTTATTTATTTAGTAATCCAAAAATTAATAAAATAGAGATTAAATATAATAAGAGATAAATAATTCAATATAATTTATTTCCATATTTAATTATTTAAAGTTCTTTAAAGGGAAAAGAAAGTATCCAATTATATTATAAGGGTAAATTGATAATTTTTGAAATATAATATTATTAATTTAATAAAAAAATTAGACATACAATATAAATTAATTTAGATTTAGATTATTCTACAATCTTTG